CGATACGCCACTTTGGCGAGCCATCATTTGTGATGGCCAGGCCACTTCTGAAAAAAAAGAAATACAGAGCTCAGTAGACCTTACCTAGCAAAATAAAAATTAAGTTCATAAGCAGTTTCAATGACGCTGTTTTAGAACAGGCACCCAACGATGGAGTTAATTGTGATGCGACGTCGTGGCCTCAATGATTGTGTCACCCACGACGTCATAACGTGGATGAAGGAGGGAGCTGTGGAAGAAGGAGGGAGCTGTGGATGAATGAGGGAGCTGTGGATGAAGGAAGGAGCTGTGGATGAAGGAGGGAGCTGTGGGTGAAGGAGGGAGCTGTGGATGAAGGAGGGAACTGTGGGTGAAGGAGAGAGCTGTGGATGAAGGAGAGAGCTGTGGATGAATGAGAGACCTGTGGATGAATGAGGGAGCTGTGTGTGAAGGAGAGAGCTCTGGATGCAGGAAGGAGCTGTGGGTGAAGGAGGGAGCTGTGAATGAAGGAGGGAGCTGTGGATGAAGGAGGGAACTGTGGGTGAAGGAGAGAGCTGTGGATGAAGGAGAGAGATGTGGGTGAAGGAGGGAACTGTGGGTGAAGGAGAGAGCTGTGGATGAAGGAGAGAGCTGTGGATGAAGGAGGGAGCTGTGGGTGATGGAGAGAGCTGTGTGTGAAGGAGGGAGCTGTGTGTGAAGGAGAGCTGTGGATGAAGGAGGGAGCTGTGGGTGAAGGAGGGAGCTGTGGATGAAGGAGGGAGCTGTGGATGAAGGAGAGCTGTGGATGAAGGAGGGAGCTGTGGATGAAGGAGGGAGCTGTGGGTGAAGGAGGGAGCTGTGAATGAAGGAGGGAGCTGTAAGTGAAAGAGAGCTGTGGCACTTTGCCAATCCACTGTTGGAGGAATACCCCCTCATGATTAGGGTCAAATCATCCACAAACCTCGAGGCATCTCCCTATCTCAGCACTGCATCTCAGAGGCCAGTGGTGGAAATTCACCGCCAGCACCCCCCCCCCCCCCCCCCGTCTCCCCTCACTGTATAGCTTGTAACAGGCTGTTGGGGCAAGCGCTGTTAGCGAGCACCTATGAAGGCCGGCACGGCACACGGAGGGGGTGGGTGGCCAGCACCACGCCTGGCAGCCTTTGTCTCCCTAGTGGCGAAGTTTACTACGCACCCCACCAGGTACTCGTTGGAGGCTGAGTCGAGCTAGGAGAGGCCCAGGACCGGTTCATTTAATCGTCACTGGCTGTTGGAGGCAGTTCGGGGGAATCGAACTCGGGCCGCCGGGTTCGTAGCGCAGCGTAGCGCTAACCGCTCCACCACCGCTCCCCGCAATACACACCGACACACAAACACGCGCACACTGAGATACAAAGGCAAAGATCCCCCGCCCTCCATCTAGCCTTAACAGACTGTTGGGGCAAGTGCTGTTAGCACGCACACGCCGACGCTTATTTCAACTTCGGTGGGCAAGCGGGCACACTGCGTAATTGCCTCGTGCAAGTGAAGCCGTGCCATACACCACACATATATTTATATATACAGTGAGGGAAAAAAGAATTTGATCCCCTGCTGATTTTGTACGTTTGCCCACTGACAAAGAAATGATCAGTCTATAATTTTAATGGTAGGTTTATTTGAACAGTGAGAGACAGAATAACAACAACAAAAAAATCAAAAAATGTTATAAAGTGATTTGCATTTTAATGAGAGAAATAAGTATTTTACCCCTCTGCAAAAGATGACTTGGTACTTGGTGGCAAAACCCTTGTTGGAAATCACAGAGGTCAGACGTTTCTTGTAGTTGGCCACCAGGTTTGCACACATCTCAGGAGGGATTTTGTCCCACTCCTCTTTGCAGATCTTCTCCAAGTCATTAAGGTTTCGAGGCTGACGTTTGGCAACTCGAACCTTCAGCTCCCTCCACAGATTTTTGATGGGATTAAGGTCTGGAGACTGGCTAGGCCACTCCAGGACCTTAATGTGCTTCTTTTTGAGCTACTCCTTTGTTGCCTTGGCCGTGTATTTTGGGTCATTGTCATGCTGGAATACCCATCCACGACCCATTTTCAATGCCCTGGCTGAGGGAAGGAGGTTCTCACCCAAGATTTGACGGTACATGGCCCTGTCCATCGTCCCTTTGATGTGGTGAAGTTGTCCTGTCCCCTTAGCAGAAAAACACCCCCAAAGCATAATGTTTCCACCTCCATGTTTGACGGTGGGGATGGTGTTCTTGGGGCCATAGGAGCATTCCTCATCCTCCAAACACGGCGAGTTGAGTTGATGCCAAAGAGCTCCATTTTGGTCTCATCTGACCACAACACTTTCACCCAGTTGTCCTCTGATTCATTCAGATGTTCATTGGCAAACTTCAGACGGGCATGTATATGTGCTTTCTTGAGCAGGGGGACCTTGCGAGCGCTGCAGGATTTCAGTCCTTCACGGCGTAGTGTGTTACCAATTGTTTTCTTGGTGACTATGGTCCCAGCTGCCTTGAGATCATTGACAATAGCCTCCCGTGTAGTTCTGGGCTGATTCCTCACCGTTCTCATGATCATTGCAACTCCACGAGGTGAGATCTTGCATGGAGCCCCAGGCCGAGGGAGATTGACAGTTCTTTTGTGTTTCTTCCATTTGCGAATAATCGCACCAACTGTTGTCACCTTCTCACCAAGCTGCTTTGGCAATGGTCTTGTAGCCCATTCCAGCCTTGTGTAGGTCTACAATCTTGTCCCTGACATCCTTGGAGAGCTCTTTGGTCTTGGCCATGGTGGAGAGTTTGAAATCTGATTGATTGATTGCTTCTGTGGATAGGTGTCTTTTATACAGGTAACAAGCTGAGATTAGGAGCACTCCCTTTAAGAGTGTGCTCCTAATCTCAGCTCGTTACCTGTATAAAATACACCTGGGAGCCAGAAGTCTTTCTGATTGAGAGGGGTTCAAATTTTTATTTCCCTCATTAAAATGCAAATCAATTTATAACATTTTTGACATGCGTTTTTCTGGATTTTGTTGTTGTTATTCTGTCTCTCACTGTTCAAATAAACCTACCATTAAAAAATTCTAGACTGATCATTTCTTTGTCAGCGGGCAAACGTACAAAATCAGCAGGGGATCAAATACTTGTTTCCCTCCACTGTAAATGTATACTTATATATGAATGATAAACATTGTATTCCCGACTGTGGATCGTGGCCAAATTTGTGTGCTAGATGTCTACCGTCGTTGCGTTGTCAATGACGCGGAGTTGTCCACAGCCCCGACTGTGACCCAGTCGCCCGGACTGAACCCCAATTTACACGCTTGTGAGTGTGTGTGCGAGTGTGTGCGAGTGTGTGTGCGAGTGTGTGTGAGTGTGTGTGCGAGTGTGTGCGAGTGTGTGTGCGAGTGTGTGTGAGTGTGTTAATGAGCGCGTGTGTGAGTGTGTGAGTGTGTTAATAAGTGCGTGTGTGTTAATGAGTGCGTGTGTGAGTGTGTTAATGAGCGTGTATGTGTGTGAGTGTGTTAATGAGCGTGTATGTGTGTGAGTATGTTAATGAGCGTGTGTGAGTATGTTAATGAGCGTGTGTGAGTGTGTTGATGAGCGTGTGCGTGTGAGTGTGTTGATGAGCGTGTGCGTGTGAGTGTGTTGATGAGCGTGTGTGAGTGTGTGAGTGTGTTAATGAGCGTGTGTGAGTGTGTTAATGAGCGTGTGTGAGTGTGTTGATGAGCGTGTGTGAGTGTGTTGATGAGCGTGTGTGAGTGTGTGAGTGTGTTCATGAGTGCGCGTGTGTGTTAATGAGCGTATGTGCGTGTGTGTGCGTGTGTTAATGAGTGCGTGTGTGCGTGTGTGAGTGTGTTAATGAGCGTGTGTGTGTGTTAATGAGTGAGTGTGCGCGCGTGTGAGTGTGTTAATGAGTGAGTGTGTTAATGAGTGCGTGTGTGCGTGTGTGAGTGTGTCAATGAGTGCGTGTGTGCGTGTGTGAGTGTGTTAATGAGCTTGTGCGTGTGTGAGTCTGTTAATGAGCGTGTGTGTGTGTGTGAGTGTGTTAATGAGCGTGTTTGTGTGTGTATTAATGAGCGTGTTTGTGTGTGTGTGTGAGTGTGTTGATGAGCGTGTGTGAGTGTGTGAGTGTGTTCATGAGTGCGTGTGTTAATGAGCGTATGTGCGTGTGTGTGCGTGTGTTAATGAGTGCGTGTGTGCGTGTGTGAGTGTGTTAATGAGCGTGTGTGAGTGTTTTAATGAGTGCGTGTGTGTGAGTGTGCGCGCGTTTGAGTGTGTTAATGAGTGAGTGTGTTAATGAGTGCGTGTGTGTTAATGAGTGCGTGTGTGCGTGTGTGAGTGTGTTAATGAGTGAGTGTGTTAATGAGTGAGTGTGCGCGTGTGTGAGGGTGTTAATGAGCTTGTGTGTGTGCATGTGTGAGTCTGTTAATGAGCGTGTGTGTGTGAGTGTTTTAATGAGCGTGTGTGTGTGTGTGTATTAATGAGCGTGTTTGTGTGTGTGAGTGTGTTAATGAGCGTGTGTGTGAGAGTGTTAATGAGCGTGTGTGTGAGTGTGTTAATGAGTGAGTGTGTTAATGAGTGAGTGTGTGCGTGTGTGAGTGTGTTAATGAGTGAGTGTGTGCGTGTGTGAGTGTGTTAATGAGCGCGTGTGTGTGCGTGTGGGTTAATGAGCGCGTGCGCGTGTGTGTTAATGAGCGTGTGTGTGTGTGAGTGTGTTAATGAGCGTGTGTGAGTGTGTTAATGAGCGTGTGTAAGTGTGTTAATGAGCGTGTGTGTGTGAGTGTGTGTTAATGAGTGTATGTGTGTGTGAGTGTGTGTTAATGAGTGAGTGTGTTAATGAGTGCGTGTGCATTTTTGGTGTGGTGGTGAGCGGTGGTCTAGCGGGGGATCAACCACGGCTTGCCGTTGTTCACGAGTTAACGCCGATGTTACCATGGCTGCTGTGCCAGGCTAGGTACACGCGCACGCACACACGCACACACACACCGATGTCAATGCATCGATCTGTCTCTCCCTCTCTTCCTCTCCCTTGTCTCAGGTTCCAAATGGATCAGGGAGTGATTGTGTTTCCAAAGATGGGTGACCGCCTGGATATAATTTGTCCTCGATTACCAGGAGCAGCAGCAGCAGCATCATCATCATCAGCAGCAGCAGGGTCTAGAGCATCATCATCAAAAAAATCATTATCAGCAGCATCGTCATCAACAGCAGCAGGAGGATCGCAAATATCATCATCATCATCACAAAGATCATCATCGTCATCGTCGTCATCATCATCATCAGACCACGACGCAGGACCTGGCCGTCGCTTAGCAGGGAACATGATGGACCTGAAGGAAGCGTCTCGCGTTGAGACGGACGGCGACGAGAAGGACGAGGTGGAGCAGACGAAGGTGGAAGAGGTGGGGGAGGAGCTTGGCGTGGAGGGGGAGAGGTACCGCCTGTACATGGTGGGGCGCGACGAGGCGCGGGAGTGCGACGCGCGGAGGGCTCGCAACGCGCTGCTCACGTGTGACCGGCCGGGCGTCGAGGTCAAGTACACCATCAAGTTCCAGGAGTACAGCCCCAGCGTGCTGGGACTCGAGTTCCGTTCGGGCCGAGACTACTACATCATCTGTGAGTAGCGCGCGCGTCTGTGCCTGCGTGTCTGTGCGTGCGGCACGGGCTGGAGAAGAGGTGGAGTGACGTGGTTACAGGAGGACGCGGAGCTGAGCGGACTTGCCGATGACCGGTTACCAGCGGTGTCAAGGTCGGCCTCTGTGGAGGAGGCTCGTGAAGGACGCTACTGGGCAGTTGGAGGCAGTCGCCCTCCAACAACAACGGAGGGCGGAGGAGCGACGCTCACAACAACGAGCGGAGCGCCGGGTGGCTAAAGCACAGCAGGTTGACACAGTAGGGGGGCACAGGTGGTGCATCAGCCAGTCGTCTCAGTCAGTCGACCCGCGGCACCTAGGTCTGCCCCGTGACTTCCTGCCAGCGGGCGTTAGACACTTCACGTGGCCTCAAGGTGCACCTAGCCTGGCACAAGCGTCGTGGTGACGTCGGTTGTTGTTGTGTGTCTGTGTGTGTGCTGTGTGTAAGTGAGCGGTAGTGTGGCGGTTAGCACTACGCTGCGCTATAAACCCGGAGACCCGGGTTCGATTCCCGCTCACGGCCAACAGCAGTGACGATTATCTGAACCGGTCCCGAGCCTCCCCTAGGTCAACTCAGCCTCAAATGAGTACCTGGTGCGGTGTCTAAACATCGCCACTGGGGAGACAAAGGCGGTCGGGCGTGGTGCTGGCCACCAACCCCCTCGCGTACCGTCCCGGCCTTCACAGGTGCTGCTCGCTAACAGCACTTGCCCCTACAGTCTGTTAAGGCTACACGGGGGATCTTTTTGTCTTTGTGTGTATACTATATGTGGGTAGACTATGCGTGTTCTACGTGTGTTTATACTGTGTGTGTGTACTATGTGTGTCTATACTATGTGTTCTACGTGTGTTTATACCGTGTGTATGTGTACTACGTGTGGGTATACTATCGTCCTCACCCGATATGCAGGAGGTCGTGGGTTCGATCCCAACCTTGACGCCTGCTGTATATTTGGAGTTTGCGTGTCTCTCTCTTTCTCCCCGTGTCTCTCTCTCTCGCTGTGCGTTGCGTGGATTTCTCTCCGTGCCCCCCCCCCATTTTCCGTCTACATTTAGAA